AAAAAAAACCCATCTGGCGGGCGGTAATGTCCCCTGCCACAATCAATACGTGCAATTCATCACTGAAACAGTGATGCCTCTTCTTTCAGGTACCAGAACTTCATGACAATATTTTCTTTCCCAAGAAAAAAGAAAGAACTATTACTGTTTCAAAATGTAGGTCGAGTGCAGTTTAAAGCATGTTTCTCTCATAAATTGTCTCCTCTAGAGATACAGCGATAGATGTGGGGTTTTTTTTTTCCTTTTGTTTAGGAAAATGACTACATTTCTTCGTATTTTGAAGATGGAGATGACTTTGGTGCTGGCAGTGATGACAATATGGATGAAGCAACGTATTAGCTGTTGTTGCTAGGTGGCACAGTGCTCAAGCCTTACGCTACTTGAATTCTGGAGGTAGGCTGAGTATCAACAGAACTAAAGTTTTAGCTCTGCTGGTTTTAAGCATGCTCTCCACAATAATGGTGGACAGTTCTGTTTAACTGTACTATGCTGTAAAACAGGATATGGGATCCCTTGTTTTGTTCTTTTGCCAAAAGTTTTGCAGACATGCGCCTTTTTAAGGTTCTCTGGAATGCCTACTGATGGAGTAAGCTATATGCCATTGTATTGCCTCTGCACAGAAAAAGAATGTATGCATTCTAATCGACGTTGTGCCTAAGCATTTGCACTAGTCATTTCTATGCTTTAGCAGTCAAATCTTGAAAATAATAGTGAAATTCTTGATGACTGCAGCAAAAAAAAAAAAAAAAGAGATATAAGCTGCTCGTATCTGGCAGCTGACTTCTCTGAAGGAATTTATGTAACTTCTGAATTCAGGTGACTGAAAAAAATTGACCACTAAGCACTTTAATATAAACTGACTTGAAAGGACCTTAGTAACAGGGACAAGCAACATAATGAGAGTATTTTGAAGAGCCATTATTCTAGCTAAAAGAAATTATTTTTAGTATTTTGGTAAAAAAGAACTGTAATATTTAAACAATGTGTTACCTTTCTGAATCAGCGTAAGTAATAATGGAGGCGAATTTCATTTAGGAAGAATGTATGGAAGAATTTAAGATGGAGAAATTATGGACTCCTGGTTTTCAGCAGTGTCGCACAGATTAGTGACGAGAATTTCAGTCCCTCACCTCAGTTTCTCCGCCTCTTACGGCGATACGAACTTTCCTACCTCACAGGGCTGTTACTCGAGATGGCAGATGATAGCTATCCAAGCTAATGCATTTATTTACTTGCCTACAGAACAAACAAGACAGAAATTTAACACACAGCAAATCAATAGAAAAAAAACCAAACAAAAATGTAGGCAAAGAATGCGGTGAAGTATTTTGATGCATGAGGTTTTAATTAGGAAAACAAGACAAGAATGCTGAGAACAGCAAAACCAGGATGTTTGGAAGCATAAATTTTAAGAACCAACAGCTGAATTGTAGAAAATTTATTCCTGGGATTAGAAACTTGAGGAAATGATAGAGCATTCTCTGTGTCCCGTTGTCCTGTGATGATACAAAATATTGTCTATCAGTGGTGTTATTGATCAGTGTTATTATATTACTCTTGATCAGTTGGGGATTTTCTGGTTGTTTTTTTTTTTACTTTTTTAAAACATTCCATTCCTGATAACTAGTGCTGTTTTCAGGTCTAATGAAAGAAGAGTTTTAAAATAAAACCAGTTATTTTGTCAGCAAAGTACGGAAGTTTTCCTTGCAAGTTTGGTGTTTTGTCAAGCAGTACTTTACCTCATCGCTGACTGGAAAACAGTACTGCAGCATTCTGTGAGTTTCTGTATGCAGTAAGAATTTGTTCCTTAAGGTGTAGCTTTCAAGTGTTCTGATAAAATTCCTATCAGATGTAAAGGAAATGAAACAAAAATGCTATGCAGGTCACACTTCAGAGGTATACCGATTTTAATTTGAAGTGTTCGTACCTATACAGATAATGTTTAATAAACATTCTGCTGCACTGCCTGGGAAATGTATTCTGTCTGATCATTCCCTTTTAACATCACGCATGCCAGCAGTTCTTTCCTGAACAGGTGTGCCTCTTCCTTGCATGCGCTATGCAAGAGAAAGATGGGAAGATCTTGTGAACAAGGTAAGCGTCTTGAAAATGAGAGTTAGCTCGCTTCGAGTATAACCAGTATTACCCTCTACTAGCTGTCTCCCCCTGCACAAGGCAAGCGAGGCTCCTTGCCCCTCGCACTAGGAATGCAGATAGATGGCTTTTGCCAAAGACAGGACTAGAGAATTAATGCTGTACGAGTGTTACCGCCCGAGTTACAGTTTGGTGATAGGCTGTGGCTTGCCAGAACAGGCACGATACCTTATTCTGTAGCAGACATGAACTCTTGGGGACCCATGACTTTCTTCACTCACCGTACTGCTAATGGGAGAGGCAAGTGCCTCCCTGCTGTACTGCTGAGAAACATAACTCTGGCAGAAACCAGGTCTTTTTGAGACCTTTAGAAGGCGAACTATGGTCACCTCTTGTCCTCCAGAGGGAACCGCAGAGTCTTAGGATGGACCCTCTAGGACTAGTTTAACCAACGGCAAATAAGGCCAAGGTTTACGAACATGCCGAGTTCTGCAATGATCCAGCTCTGTGCCAAGGCACTTCTGAAAGGAAGTGGGATTGTGCTGTTCCAGAGGCATCGCATTTGCGGCTGTTTCTATAAGCTGGTTTTCTGATTGCTTAGAATTTATTGCAAGACCATAATGCCGATAAAACTTAGACCGTTCTTTGGGTCTCGGCAGACTTTGGGTTTGGGCGGGCATGTGTTCAAATCCTGTCCTAACAGCAGAGCAGAAGAACACGTGACTTCCTACAAGGCAGCGCTGCTTTCAGTGTGTCGGGAGATCGCCATCTGAGAACTTCACCGATCCCTGCCTTAATTTTTCCTGCTTATTTCTTAATCCTGATTTATGCAGTAAAGTTCCGAGCTCTACAAGGCACACACAGGATAAAACCATGAAGGTTCCAGTCATGGCATGCTAGATACGAATGCTGCACGCAGCTACTGCCAACAAAATACTTGTTGGCCAAGGATTTTTATTTTAGATCATACATAAAAACTAGCCAAAACAAATACAAGTAGTGGTCTCCTGTGATAAAACATGCAAAGTATGCACAGCTAAGAATACATTATGTGCACCACTTCCACTGCTGTCTAAAAAAAATCTTTATTTTACGTGTATTACTTATGTTCTTCTGAAAACAGAGGAGCAGAAGTATTTAAAATAAGACTCGTGTCCTCATTCAGGATTATTTTATGAAGTTGCATTTTCAGCCTTTATAAAATAGTTATACAAAGACTATTTGTGACAACATACTCCAAAATATAGCAGATTTAAAACACTTAGATTTTACACGATCCAACAGTGCAATATGCACTTCAATTTAAAACAAACTTCCTGATCAACAATGTGTTGTAATTAATCTAAACCATGATTTACTGCTCAGTTGTTTTGCCTTTGACAAGTCAGTTTCTATAAGACTAACTTTAGAGGTTTTAACTTAAATCAGATTTAAGTTCCGTACAGGGCAGTTGCCCTGTTTATTCAGGGCTGACACGTGGTGACGTGTTGCCAGCTGTGTTGTACTTTGGAAGAAGTAGTAAAGCTTCTGCATCCTGCAGAAAGCCAAGCCCGCTGATGCTTGTAGATCACCAGTACCAGGAGGCCTGCAATCTTGGAAAGAGACCTCCTGTACCTTGTGATAAGGTTAACTCTCTAAGTTAAAAGAGGTGCCAGATGAAATATGCTACGTAGTAAAATAGTAAAACCATGCTAGGCTCTTGGTTAGAGTACAATACAGCTCAATAAAACAGCTATCCCTTCGTGCTTTTGTAATGACGGCTTACCCCAAGGTGAATAGCCTGTTCAGCCTGGAGCAGAGGAGGCTGAGGGGAGCCCTCATCGCTGCCTACAACTGCCTGAGAGGAGGGGGGAGCCGGGGGGGTCGGGCTCTGCTCCCAGGGAAGGGGCGATGGGACGAGGGGCACCGGCCTCAAGTTGTGCCAGGGCAGGGTGAGGTTGGCCATGGGGAACAATTCCTTCCCCTTGGGGCTGAATAAAGGCCGTCAGACTTAACGTGGTGACAATAGGCCGCAGGCTTCCCAATGCTGTAAAAGCCCAAAGCCCAAGACAACGCTAGAGAACTACTCAAGAGAATGACTCAGCTGTACGACTCAGCTACGAAAAGCAACAGTTAACCACAGACCTCTTTACTCGCACACCAGCAGGGTGGAGACCTTCTTGACAGAGTCAAACCGCAGGTGAAATTAAGTTCACTTCTGTACTGACGGCAGTTCAATACCCATCAGTTCAGGTATGTGCAGTAAATGAGGCTGATGTTGCATTATCACAATTGTTCTTTGACCATTTTGTTAGAAATGGAAGGATAAAGTATTAAAAATGTTGAGGTTTTAGAAACATAACAAAGGGCAAAGAAGCAAACTGGCAAACAAGCTTGCAGCACAAAACTGATGCGTTACGTACCAACTTTTCAGTCCTACACAGAAACCGTGTCTTAATGTGCCAAAGCTCTGTTGTCTGGACTAGGGCGAGTCACCTTTTTAGTCACAGCAGCTCTATCACATTAGCCACCATAAATTATTTTGCAATGCCACTTCTCATACAGCCTTACCCAGAACTGCTACTTCAGTATTCATGCTTGTGTTACTAACTTTCTGCTTTCACAGAAAGAACTATTTACTTTAAAAGATCTTGGAAAACGAGTGTAATGTGAAACATGGAAGTCCATGCCTGCTTGCAATCCCTCTTCTAGCGTGGTCACGCTATCTCCACAGATACCACTTTGATTGAAGGGCTCAGGAGCCACAGATCATAGTTCACAGGTCCAACTGTACAGCATTTCCCTTCCAGCTCTGGCCTGCTTCAATTTCAATATAATTTAATTTAAATTAAAAGTTGTCCAATTCACGTTCATACACTCAGCGCGCCAGTGCAGAGCGTTTGCCCCACTTCTTGGGCAATAGGTGCCCCAAGAATAGATGGGGCACAAGTCTACTTTCAAAATTTTAAGTCAGTAAAGCACTGTGCAATACCTCCAATGGTTAGAAAACACTCACTTTTTCAGATTTTTTATACTGTATATAGGTAGTCAAGACACTCAAAGGAAAGCTTACAATAGTAGTTTAAAAGGATAGTGGTATTTTTTCCATTTCTTTCTAAGTCCTACTGCAGTCAGTCATCTTGGGCTTTGGTAACAAATGGTACTTGGAATAGGGCAATGGAAATCTTACTCCACAAGGCAAATATAACAAAAAAAAATTATAGGCAGCATCTCAGTTTTTATTTAAAAATACTCTGAGTACACAAGTACCTCCTTCTTTCTGTAGGAAAAGTCCAAGGTTGGGGGTTTTTTTTGTTATTTTCTCTTGTAGCATTTTCAGGTAGCGAAGAAAAGAGGGGGAAAACAAGGTTATTCATGAAACCCCACGTGAAACATTCAAGAACAGAGTGGCTGATGATTACTGCATAAAGAACGAGTCTGGAGCTGCAACTGGTCTATTCTGCTGCAGTTTAAGTTTCTTGCTTCTCATTTGAGGTTTTCTAGGAGATTTCAGGAAACACATTAGTGTTTGAGGGTCACGGGCACAGGACCATTAGCATACTCAGTCCCGACATGACTGCTGTTTGAAGAACCAGCTGGTCCTGAACTGAGATTAACTGGAGCAGGGCGGGGGGGGGGCACGGGGAGAAAGAAAAAGCCATTGGCATAAAGACTATTGAAGCAGTTACAGCAAGGTGCCACCCATCTGCCCTTCTTCCCTTCTGTACGCAGCTGACCAGACGAGAAGCACGCTCCAGTCCAGTCAGTTTTCAGTTGGGTACCACGGAAGGAGGCTCTCTCCGCCAGACTGCATTGAGGCACGGTGTCACACACACAGAAAACAAATGATCCTACTGCCTATGCTGAAAAGCACTAAAGAATGGGTTGACCACAGGCACAAGGTTTGAATATTCCAGCTGAAGTATTAGCTACAGCCTCTATAAAAGTCACTTTTAAAAAATGAACTTCATAGTGGCAATTAATTATGGAATGACTGGGTTTTAAAAAAAAAAAAAATCTGTGTAAGAAAGATAAAATTATGAGAATGCAGTTCTAGCTTGACAACTGTAAACCCGATACTAAAGTGTCAAGTGTACTATGCATTCCATAAATACTTCAAGATGGTGAAAAGTTAGATATCCCCAAATGCCCATTTTAGGGCTGTAAAATGTACAGTGAGACTCCTCAAGTGTTAGTTCAAACTACATTTTTTTCACCTCATTGTTAATTAAAAAAAACATATGCCTATCGAAATAGAAAAAAGTGCAAGGCTTCAGAAATAACTTTATACCTTAATTTATATCCCAATCTTGCGTTAAAATCACCTGTCTCAGCAATTTTCAGAGATCACACGATCCACAGAAATATCCTTGAACTGGAACACTGCCCGCAGAGGCAAGGGAAGCATCGGTACGCGTTTCCTCTGCGTTCCACACCCATTTGGCGTTCTGTGGTTTCCCCCTTTACCTAATGCTATATGTTACATGTCTGTGAATAACAGTTGCCTGGGGTCTTCCATTGTTAAGGCTGAAGGTCTCCTCGGTTATCAACATGTATAATATTCGCCGGATTTACTCCATTTTCTATTTGTTTCTGATGCGATGCTGCCGTGACAAACAGATGGGAAGATTCCATTGTAGAATGGTGACTGACATCTGCTTTCACTAGAACTTCGTAATAGAGGAGATAAAAAACAGGTGTTACTATGCCAATAATCAACATAATCACTACAGCTGTCCACCATCCTATACCCCAATCCGCTCCATAGTAAGGATCCTTGCATTTTTTAGTTTTACCATCAGTTTCAAAACAGATCTGTTGGGCTGCTAAGGCAGAAACAACTTCATCAAGATTCTCTCTCTTTGTATCATTACACTTCACTATTTCTTCTATATCTCGATCCACTTCTTTTAAGAAGTTGCCAGCAGTCTCGTTAGCAGAGAATTTGTCAGGAGGTGGCGTTTCCTGTGCTTCCGGGGAACAGTAAGCAGGACGAAGGGCTGGTCTTCCTTTTGGAGAGACGTGCGTTTCAGTCAACACGCTGAACTTTTTCACTGGGATTTTGATTGACCTCAGGGCAAAAAAATCTTGATCGTTGATCAGATTGTTAACTCTCTTGATATCTGCAACCTGAAAGTAAAAAACGTAGTTTAAATATCAAAGCCTTGTTGAACCGAAACTCTTAGGAGTACTACACCCTTGAGAAATACAATTCTTCCCTGATGAAACAAAGGCAGTTTCGTTTTGCCTTTTTTGTTTTTTTTTTTTTTAAACCGATACCCATTCAGTCAGCACAAAGCGAGAAGAGGTCAAAGACCAAATCTGAGCAATGTTTAAGCAAAAAGGCAATTACAAGGTAACAAGCCTCCTCGCTTCAGATAAGACCGAAGTCTGACACATATGTATTCACTTAATCTATATTCATCTCTCAGTGGCAACTATCTCTGTGAAAGGAATGGGACTTTACCTCGGTGCTTTCAAAGGAAGTAAATTACTGAGAGTTCATAATTAAATTTAAAACTTCTGAGTAAAGAATATTAAAAACTATGAGCTTCCAGTGCATCTAGCCACAGCTGTGGTTTGGACCCTCTTTCTGCTTCTGGGGGCTGAGGCAGAAACTGCCTTTCAGCATAAATGAAAATGTCACCTTCCCTCATCAAGTCAGCTCTCCCCTTTCCCTATTCTTGCTCAAAATGAATCTCATTTTGCACTCGGTAAGTTCGGATTTCAAGTCTGATGTGCAATACTCCACAAGGATTTAAGTGCCCGTGGAGAATTAGGGGCTGCACTCGGAGACGGTGACTCCCTCAACACGGAAGGCACAGCCACAAACCTCACCATAATGAGGTACTTAAAAATCAGTACTTTTTCGCAACACCCGCTGAGCACATGGGAATCGTGCCCGTTTTAAGAGGCACTGTGCCCGAGTTCAGATCCTTGCTGTCCCCGCTGGGAGGACATCTACCTTTGGAGAAGTTACGGACAGAAAACGAGGTGGTGAAGAGACCCTTGTTGCCGTGACTGCTCCACTTACAACACAGATGTGGTCAGAAAAAGTAAGTTAGGGCGATCGATGCCTACACTGCCTGCGCTAACCTCGTAACACAAAAAAAGTGTTTCAGTTCCTGTGACGAGTACATCAGGTGAGCATAAAAGACCACCAAATGCAGCATTTCCCCCAGCAATGAGCGATTCCGCCGCAACGCACGTGGTGCTTTCTACCTAAAGCCCTGGGCTGCTCTTCCACATTCTCCCTGAACTTCCAAGAAAAAGCACAACTCGTGTCATCTTTTATTTCTTCTTTGAGGCCTGATCTAGTAAGCCTGCTCAAAATATATGACGGCAGTGGGTACTGAAGCCAAGAGTTGGTTAATGAGGCCAAGGTTTCACTATGAAATGGTTACGTCAAGACTTTGGTACCGAAGCTGACAACAGGAGGCCCCTAATTCTGTTTCTGCCTGACGGACCGGTTGACAGCACAACTTCTGTAAATACAGATTTTTGAGCTTGACCTCCTGAAAACTGCACAGTCAGTCCACCGACATGCAGAGCTGATTTTCTTAAAACTGGGTATGTGCAAAGGGTAACAGCAACCAAGACAGATGCCTCTACTTTAATTAGTGCTGGCTGAATGGGTAGGGAAGACATTCCCCAGACTAATTTAAGAAGTCTTAGCTTGGAGGAGTAGCACGGTCTGAGCACCAGAAGGGAATGCTTGGGGGATGTAGGCAGAGAGCTCCCAATGGTACATCACGCTGGCACTGGTAAATATTTAGGCAACTTTGAAGGATTTTGCCAACCCTACCCTGGGCTGCATCAGGAGAAGCGTGGCCAGCAGGTCGAGGGAGGGGATTCTGCCCCTCTGCTCTGCTCTGGGGAGACCTCCCCTGGAGCCCTGCGTCCAGCTCGGGAGCCCTCAGCACCAGGAGGACATGGACCTGTTGGAGCGGGGCCAGGGGAGGGCTACTAAAATGCTCCGAGGGCTGGAGCCCCTCTGCTCTGAGGCCAGGCTGGGAGAGTTGGGGGTGTTCAGCCTGGAGAAGAGAAGGCTGCGGGCAGAGCTGAGTGCGGCCGGTCAGGGCTTCAAGGGGGCCCAGAGGAAAGGGGGGGACAAGCTTTTTAGCAGGGCCAGCTGGGACAGGACAAGGGGGGATGGCTTTAAACTGAAGCAGGGGAGGTTTAG